GAAGCATCACAAGCATCAGGGCCCAGGCACAAACCCCCGCAGCCCAGGTCTCCCTCTGCATACAGGGTTCTTTCCGACTTATAAAGAGCAGGAGTGTTGTCCATGCTGGGAAAATGATATGAAGAGAAATCATCAACTTGAAGACCCTGAGCACTCCTTAAATGCCAGTCTGGTACCGCAGCCTTCCCTGTCCTTGGAGTGAATCTGGGCACTTGTTTTCTAAACAGCCATATCACTCTTCCTCTTGGGGCATTAGGTCAGTCGTTTATGTCGCTCTTCTGCATTGTCATTTCTGATTGCCACTGGAATCCACTGTAGAGAAGCTCCAATGGCTGCCAAAAAGCAAAACAAAATGAACCTTGAAATTGGAGAGGGAAAAAAATACCGCAGTAGTCCCTGAGGAAACCTTGGGTAGTGGCCGGCCATCCTTCGCACCCCCTGAACCACAGCCAGAGGGAAAAACTTCCACCTACATCTGGCTACAGAGCCCGACGCCGTTAATCTCAACCGAATCTACTCTACCAAAAAACCTCAAAGGCAGTTAATTTGTTATTTTACATGCGTTTATTATTTCTGCTGGCAAACTGTTTACTCACAGGTAAGGTAGTCAGTTGATAAACTGAATAAAGAAAAAAAGGTGAAATCCTAATATATAAGAGAGGAGAGAAGGGGCAGAAAAACCTGCAGGCCGTGTAGAAACAAGAGCACCACCATGGACCCCATGCCCCTCCACTGGGGGAGTTCTTGAGTAGGATCAACCTCCAAACCCTCTTCCAGCTCTGGGATGAGATGGCTCCTCTCTTGGTCACAGGACCGTAGATGAAGTGGTGCCGCTCTCCACAGCGAATGGTGTGGCAAACAGAACATGCTGGTTGCTGGGGCAGACCCTATGGCAGCCAGACACGGCTGGCCGTCCACAAAGGGTCTGATCCCCATCAGGGCTGTGGCACCCTCGGACAGGAGGGGCTTCTGGGAGCTGTGCAGGTGCAATCTGAGCGTGGGGCATGGCGGCTGTGTCCCCTTTGGGTGTCCAGAGTCTAGCCAGGAAGTAGATTTAGTTAATGTTAACAGAGGGATTTAACACACAGATCTGTGAGTCAGCGATTAGAGAACTGAAGAGGGGAAAGTGAGGCATAGCGGCATTATCTCAGAGACAGTCCTGAGGGAGGCAGCTGCCACCGCCAGGCCAGAGGGAAAAGAGGAGGCTTTGAGAGTTCTGAAATCTAGACGTTCAGGGGAGAGGCCCAGTCAAGGTGTTGCTGAAGCCTCCAAGAAGGGGCTGGTGCCTATCTCCAGGAGCTGGGAGTGAGACCCATAGAGGGGAGAGGCTCATCTGCCCCAAGAGGCTGGGGATGGGCGCTCTGCTGAGCTGGGTCTAAGGCCCCCCAGGTTGGTGCCGGCACCTTCGAAGAAGTCCAGACAAGGATAAACGCAAACTAGAGGCCAGGTGCGGTTGCTCACGCCTATAATCCCAGCACTTTGGGAGGCCAAGATCTCAGATCACCTGAGGTCAGGAGTTCAAGACCAGCCTGGCCAACATAGTGAAACCCCATCTCTACTAAAAATGCAAAAATTAGCCAGGCATGGTGGCCCGTGCCTGTAGTCCCAGCTACTCGGGAGGCTGGGGCATGAGAATCACTTGAACCTGGGAGGCAGAGGTTGCAGTGAGCCGAGATTGCGCCACTGCACTCAAGCCTGGGTGACAGAGTGAGACTCCATCTCAAAAAAAAATAAAAGGCAAGCTAGAACCACCTGCTACTGCTGAGTGCACACTTGCTGCAGTGACAGCCAGTATTGCAGCCTGTCTCCAGGTCCCCAT